GACATCCGACAGATTTTAGGGGGTACTCTTCTCTTAAATTCTATTTACATTTCCTTTTTGTTGTTGTTGTTGTTTTGTTTTTTTATGCTATTTCAAATACCTTAGGTCACCCAACAGTCATTTTATCAATGAAAAATTCAGTTTCTATGACTAAGTATGTACCTGACAGTGTTAGGTAATAGGATATATCACTTTGCGATAGTGTTGTATTAATCAGACGGACACACATGGCAATAAATATACAGGATTACGACTTACATCTTAAGAATAAAATCACAATGTTTGAAAAGCACTTCCATTCTTTAAAAATTAATTTTGGGAAATTTATCTCTTTCCTTAAAAAAAATAAATAAAATGCTTAAAGTAAGAGAAGATTTCAATAAAATGCTCCAAGAAGAAAAATTTACTTTGGACTTGGGGCTGGGATAAAGGCAAACACCTAACACCTTTTAACTGTATAAGCAGTCCTCAGGTTGCACACAAGATCCACTTGTAAGTGTGTTTGTAAGTCAAATTTGTAGGTAAGTCAGAACAGCTGCATATGACTCTTCGTCTTGCTTGAGTGCAAGAAAAGACTGGAAACCATGTCAATGATTGAAAAGATTGTGCATGCCACAAGTTTAAGTATTGTGAAGAAGAATCTGTTGCCAGCAGGGATTGGTTCAGTCATTTCAAAGTGAAGACAAACATTAACAGGCAAGCAAGAGTTGTGCATCAGTCCAACATCTGTAACTACTTACTATACCTTCATAAATAAGGTCCTTTTTTTTTTTCATATGAGAAAACAACATACTAATTTGGATTTAAAGATAACCATCACCTTTGACATTATAAAGTATCCTGAAAAAAACATATTTAGGGACACTTATTCAGAACAACCAACATCTTAATTACTCTGAAAGTAAAATCAGAGACTTCCAGGCCATTTTCACATTGTAGTTGCAGATCAGGTGATAAAATTTGAGAAATTTGGTAACTTGACCAAATTCATGGAGCAAATTCCTGATAAAACTAAACTAAGAGATTAGACCTAAATAAAATCCTCTGTATCACTATGGGGGGGGTGGTGGTGATGTGCTGTGGAGTGAGTTCCAACTCATAGCGACCCTGCACTGGATTTCTGAGGCTGTAAATCTTTACAATAGCAGAAAGCCTCATCTTTCTTCCACGGAACTACTGGTAGTTTCGAACTGTTGACCTTACTAGCAGTCTGACTCACAACCACTACACTACCAGAGCTCTTTCTTTATCACTAGATGATTCCCAAAGAGCCAGCATAATTTATTGCCAATGAATGAAATTACAAGGCATTGTATTACACAGATTTGTATATTACTTGAATCTTCTTCAGTAAATGTTGCTTAAAAATACATTTAAATATCATTCAACCCTACCACAATGCAAAAGTAATGTATGTAGGTGTAGAGTGTGTCAAGGGCTGAAGAAGGGAAGATGTAATGGGTCCACAAGAAAAACAAGAACAAAAACCTCTAGAAAGCTTCATGGTTAAAAATAAAGGTCCACATTGTAGAAGAGGGGAAAAAATTAAGGAAAAGAATGCACAAGTCCACATCACTGACAAATAAACTAACACATCTTTATTCCGTGTGTAACTTGTAAATGTGAAGAGAATGTTAGAATTGGAAAAATAATTTTCTATCATCCTAATACAGAATGGTTCAGAAAAGAATGACTAATAGATGCTGAATCTAGGGAGTAATTTTGATGGGGAGAAAGTATGTCTTCATGATCTTAAATGAAATGGTCTTCCTACAAATAATGTATTCTTCATAGAGTCATATAACTCTATGGTGGAGAAATCAGGCAACAACTTGTTTAGAGACCAAAGTTGAAACCGCCTGATAGACAGGTGCTTGTTGTGGGTTTACAGATGTGAAGCCCTGAGAAGTATACAACAGCAACAAGATTCCATTCAGGCTGGAATGCAAAGCCCCAGACAAACATAATAAAAGGAGACTTCAAACAGTTCATGGGAAAATGGAATTAAAAATAAAAGAATTTTCCTCACGAACTTTTCAGAGCCAGCTAGTGGAGCCCTCTCCTGGTGAGGCAATGTAGGATCAGCATTGAACAGCGAATCACAAGGTCAGTAGTTCAAACCCACCATGTGCTTCTTGAAACCCTATATAAGGTCTCTATGAGTTGGAATCTAGTCGACAGCACTTAACAACAACAATAAATGGAGTCCTGGTGTGGTGCTGCAGGATAAGCAATGAACCGATAACCAGAAAGTTGGCAGTTCAAACCTACCAGCTACTCCTCAGAAACCCTATACTTGAAACATACTTGACGACACTTAATAGCAACAGTATGAGAAATATCCCATTAAAAAATTGAAGGGAAGGTAATTATATTTTTCAAAGCATCACTGTAATAAAAGAAAAGGAAAGGCAGTGGAAAGGTTCTAGAGTAAAGGAGACTAAAAAGATGTGACTGTTAAGTTTGACATATGACGTAGACTGATTCCCAAACTGTGGGGAAAGAAAGGGGATAATATAAAGGAAGTTACTGGGTTAACTGAGAAAATGGAAATGCAGATTTGTTGTTGTTGTTAAGTGCTATCAAGTCAGTTCCAACTCATAAAGACCCTATACAGGGTTTCCAAGGAGCAACTAGTGAGTTTGAACGGCTGACCTTGTGGTTCAAACCGACCTTGTGGTCCAGTGCTTTATCCCACAGCACCACACCAGGATTCTGAAACACAGGTAACAAAGTAGAAATAAGCAAGGTATCAATCATACATTTACTGAAGTTGGTAACTGTTAACAAAGGATCATGATATCTACAACTTACTTGCAAATAGCTTTTTTAAACAATTACACAGCGAGAAAGGACACACACAAGGCAAAGCATTAAGAGGTGAATTTAAGTAAAGGGCAAACTAGTGTTCTCATATATTTTTCTTATTCTTGCAATTTTCTTGTGTATTTAAAAATTATTTTCTAATAGAAGTTAAATATATAAAACAGAAGCCTAGAAATATCACCTTCTCTTTTAGGGGACAGGAGGAGACCAGTATAGTACTGAGGAAAGGTGAGGACACAAGGAAATGAAATGCAAAGAGCCAATCTCTGAGAAACCACTCCAAATCTGAGAGGGAAGTAGGGATGCAAAGCCCACATACTGACAGTTACAAATGTCACATTGCTCAATGCTAAATACTGGTACTTCTACTCAGTGAACTTAAAATAGTTTCAAGGGAGGTGACGAGATAGGGCAAACCCAGCTCTCCACACACCGCACACACAACCCCCAAGTGGTCACTCACCAAGCTGGCCGTGAGTGAAGGTGCAGACTGGCCCAGGGCCTGGCTGCGCATGCGCACGAGGTTGGAGGTCTCCGTTGAGGCTGGCCAGGCCTGCCCGGCCACAGGATTTGAAAGGAGGTACCTCCCTGTTGGGGTTAAAAAAAGACAGTGTAAATGACAAGCAGACTGCAGTCTTTCCGTGGTAATGGTCATTCTTCTAGGCCACTCTTCTTCTATTTTACTTCTGTCATACTTCGCAACCAAAGAAAAAAGTGTTTTAATTAAGTCATGTGATGCAGGCCAGGGTTTTGACCCTGACTCCTAACATGAACCCCAAGTTAACTTCATCTCCCTCATTTCTAGCTTTCAGTCATGAAAGAAAAAAATTACTTTGTACATCTGACAACTCCATGGGAATGTGTTAAAGATATCTATCACAAAGTAACTTCAACATCACAGAAGTAAATGCTTGCATTCATAAATGTACTTTTCAAAAACATCTAACATGGAAGGTGATCTTAAAATCCACTGTTGAAATCAACCAGTAGAGACCCCACAAAGTAGACAGCATGACCAGCAGAAGAAAAAAGTGGGATTCTTCCAAGGGCAAATGGGGCTGAGCTGGTCTTTCTCCTTTGTCACATGGCTAGGCAACCATGTCTGAGGGCTATATAATGGTATCCATTTGCATAAATCAGGACATCAATGTCAGTCTAGGTTCACTGAGTAACTGCCATCAACCTTGACCTCTAAGATATATGTGTATGCTTTAAAAAGTCAAATAACAACTGAACCAATTCACACTGTACCACTGTCTTAATACACGGACACATAGACTAGACTAACACCCAAGAAATGCGGCTTTTTAACTTCAGAAGTTAGACTGAATATAACTAGTCACAGATTAATGAAGCTTAGTAAAAGCCGGCATTTTGTTTAGCTTTTAACTGATATGTCCTAATGCTAGCACAATGACTCACGATGGTTGGGGCATAAATAGTGAACAAATGAGAGCATAGACACACACCACCCCCCCCCCCCAAAAAAAAAAAAAAAACCCTCAGTGAAAACACAAGGATGTCAGGCATCCCATAGAGTCTCATTAGAGAGTCACATGTAGAGACTCCAGCTTCGCTTCATTCGGCTTCAGCATGGATGGCTGGTTGTCCTGCAGCAGAGAAAACGTCTGTTTTCACGTTTGTTCCCCAGCAGATCTGTCCCTTTCCCCTCAAAAGTTCCTTGTTCTTTTCCCCCTCAAGGCAGGCACCTCACAATCATACCCCATTAATAACTATCACCATAGCATATGATTACTATACTATTACTGCATAGGAGCTCTGGCTGCATAGTGGTTACAACTCGGGCTGCAAACCTAAGGCCAGCGGTTCGAAACTACCAGCTGCTCTGCGGGAGAAAGATGAGGCTTTCTACTCCCGTAAAAATTTACACCCTCAGAAACCCTGTACAGGGTCGCTAAGGGTCGGAACCGACTCGACGGCACTTAACAACAACAACAACAACAACTGCATAAACTAACTGTATACTATTTAGCCATAACAGCAAAAAACACAAAAGTTTATAATTGTTATCTTTTTACCTACAAGTAGAATAAACAAATATATATAAAGAAAAAGATTAAAATTACCCATAATGATGACAGAGATAACCATTATCAACATTTCAGCAATGTTTCTCTTGACTTTGTTCCTGTAATTTATTGTTTCCTTATAAAAAAAGGATCATATTGATTTTCATTACATGATTCCCCTCCACATATGGTAGTCCTTTTTCAAGCAAATAAATACATAAAATGTCAATTAACTGAAGCATAAATACTATCATTGAAAATTCAAATATAATTACCCTCTGTGATTCTGGTCACCATTTCAGAAACACTTGGACATTTTTTCATGCAAAGAATTCACTGAAAATCTAAACTTTTATTTTTTCCACCCATGCCTCAATAGGGACTTTGGGAAATGTGGTCACTTTCATCTTTTTTTTTTTTTTTAAGCTTTTATTGTGAATTGAGTGATTGTTTACATGGGAGAACATCAGTTTAACACTCATCATTTCATTGCAATGATTACACTCCCCTTCCATGCATCATTATACAACAATATTTGCTTCCATTCCCTCTGTTTTTTTGGGTGAGGGTATGTACACAAAAACATTCAGGAATGCATAAGCATTTAAACAACCAAAGTACACATTCTGCAAGCCTGCCTCCTGGTCACAAGTACACCGCCTTTCTCTTTCCATGAGTCCTCAGCTGCTCTCTCTCTCCATGTCATCATTTCTGCCTCCATCTCTGGTGTC